GTGCTTTAATCCATAATCTGTATATCTATACCCAGGAAGAGCTTGTTTTTATATATGTCAATTTTTCGGTGAAATTCGTGTAAAATTTCTTGTATTTCTTGTAAATGAAAAATAAATATGAAATGCGAAATTACAGCTTTTCGTATGGATAATGAAGCTAGGGCCTTCAAATAGGGATGAAATTTATCATTTGTCAACGTTTTTATAGACAAATTTATAAAATGTGTGACATGGAATATATTTAGGCAACAAATCTACCGTCCGTACGCCGACAATATCACAAAAAAGAAAATGGTAGTCCACATTACCCGAAGTTCCTCCATCATACCTTATTTTACCGACGGAAACATATCCCAGATCTCAAAAACCAAGTGAGCGTTTTTGAGATAATATATTTTCCTCGAATGAAGAAAGCAGGCGCCGAAACTGGACATTGAAGACAATAATGTTGGATAACAAATAAAAATTTCATTAAGATACCTTTAATCCTATAATCGATCGGGACTTATAATCGATCTGGACTTTTATATGGTGTCTATGGCATTTTTTATAGGAAGATTTTGGCACCCAATTAAAAACTTAAATATTAAACTACTGTTAATTCAGTTAAAAAACGTGCCCAAAATGCTGAATAATGAGGGATTCCGGTATATAATGAGGGATACTGGTATATAATGAGGAATACCGGTATATAGGACCTACCTTGAAAGTTAAATCACTGACGATTATATACCAATGGAGAATCTAAAATGCCTGCTTACAGCCAATTTGCTTGAAAAATGTAACCAACCGTTATATGGTGGCTACCCAAATAATTGTTCCAATATAGGTAATTTTTGTTGGGAAGATATTCTACAATATGCGACTACGAAATTACAGTTAATTCGTCTTAAAAACAGGCCCAAAATATCTCATATTGGAGTTAAAGGTCTATACTAAAACTTGATCCAGGTATTTTCAATACCACACATCCAATGTATGTTCAAAATGTCAACGCTGATTTGAACAGACGGAAGCTAAATCTACTTTATGGGGTCTCTGGTAAACATTTGAAGGTCCACTAAGTACCCTTCAGCACAAGGTTCAATTATGGTGGATAATATAATTTTACAAATACACAGAAGTTCTTTTATAAAAATCAAATATTTGTGAGTATATTTAATTGTCCGTCAATTCGCTTAGAAGGCCTACATGTATTTACCATATTTACCTATATGATATTTGTCAAAATTCGGAAGGTTTGGGTTTAGTTCTTTTCTCCGGTAAATTTATATTTTGAATTCTATATAGAACATTAATTTCGGAAATTGATATTACAGTCACTTTAGTTTTCCCACCACATAACGATACCATACAAGAAATATTCTAAAATAGACTCAGGTTCGCTTCAACTCATTGTAATGTTTTCCAAATTTGATAGATTTCAAATGTTCATTGTCATGTTCAATATTAATCCAATATTTCATGGTAATTTAGGTAAAATTAAAAACATCTTATTGACATGCAGAACCCCCTTCTTGCCATAATCAACAACAAAAAGTCCTCATTACATGTGTGAACGCCTTGAAACTGATAATTCATAGGAACCCTCTCCGCTCCACTCCACATCATTACAATTACATATTGCATCCATCAAACATTCATTACCGAACATAAACAATATTGTTTTCTCAGATCATAGCGAAGGCTTGATGAATAGCTCTAAATAATGTTAAATGTTTCAAGATATTCATTACAATTAAATTAGAAGTGAAAAAAAACGAAAACGAAACAAAATTACCTATCTGAATTCCCAAAGGTGTCGGATGAAAAGGGGATTAATCCAAATATGGGGTGAAATAAATAATAATAATAAAACAACAACAATACGATGAGTAGAAATAGATGTTCTCCATGCTGTTTTCACAACAAGGTGCATGAAATGTTGATATGTACCTTGAAAAAATACAGAAACAGACTAAACCAAACATGCACTTCATAATAATCGAAACAAATAAAACCTAATATGTTTGAGCCTCTTTATATTATTCGGGATTATTATAAAATAGCTGTGTATGTTTGTATAGAAAAAAGTAACCTCATTTTTTCGTTCTCCCTAACCTAACATTTCCAACGCCGCTGGAACGCCCTTTTTTGTTGTGTTTGGTTATATATTTGAAATGGTTATTGTGGCGCAAATGCACGGCAGGGTATCTGCGCAGGCGCATCAACTTCTAAAGCACCAACACGGCAGCAACAGCAGCAGTCAAAGGCCGGTTAGTGTGTATGTTTTGTGTGTAGATTTTGAAAACAATCCTTTTTCTTTGTGCTACGGCAGGGGGGTTAACACATATCAACGTCAAGTGATTCCTAGAATTTTTCCTCTGCGCCCAAACTACCGCAATCGCTTCTTAAAAATTAAACTAAACTGTTTTCGTTGCCTACATGCCGTGATGATGACGGTAGTCAATCAAAAATATTTTTAGGGTTTTAAGAAATTAAGTTCTTTATAAGAGAAAGGAAATTCTTTAGGGTTTTTTTTATAAGAATTCAATTTTGAAAAAAAAAGAATTGAAAATAGTCTTACATGCCTTGGATACACGCGATGCTTTAAAGAAAATAATAGTTTTCATTTGAACAGCATTACAGCTAATCTCGTTCAAAATTCTATTTGAAACATTGACTTTCGATCTGATGAGGCAATTAAAACAATAGACCTTTTGTTGTTATTATTATTGGATTTGGGGATTATATAATTCATATGTAGAACCTTTTGCGTATGACGATTTATATTGGCCCTTGAAAAAATATTCTTTAAAAAATCCACGCCTTATATTGGCCCTTGAAAAAATATTCTTTAAAAAATCCACGCCTTATATTGGCCCTTGAAAAAATATTCTTTAAAAAATCCACGCCTTATATTGGCCCTTGAAAAAATATTCTTTAAAAAATCCACGCCTTATATTGGCCCTTGAAAAAATATTCTTTAAAAAATCCACGCCTTATATTGGCCCTTGAAAAAATATTCTTTAAAAAATCCACGCCTTATATTGGCCCTTGAAAAAATATTCTTTAAAAAATCCACGCCTTATATTGGCCCTTGCAAAAATATTCTTTAAAAAATCCACGCCTTTGGTACGCCTGGAAAAAATATTCTTTAAAAAATCCACGCCTTTTATAGGCCTTGAAAAAATATTCTTTGAAATTTTTAGTCTATGAAAAATAAAACATATTTCTCGCAGTGTACAATTTGAATTTTTCGCATCGATGCTCCTTTATTGTTGTAAAACCATAACTATGGAAAAAAGTAAATATATTTTTGTTTTTTTTTTCAATTGAACGGATATTTGTATTTTGATAAGACACATTAAAAAGTCAAAGCGCTACCGTTGTTGAACACGCTTCGACTGCCGGTGACGACGATGTTGGTCGTTTTATATGCCGCGCTGTCTACACATTCTGCTCCCACTGCATTTGATTATTAGCATGAAACCTCGTCTGGGGGTTTTTGCATGTTTGCCGCAGCATTGGGCAGAACGATACGCCTCACCGGCGCAACGACCATCATTGGATATTGATGATGTTTGTCGATTGGTTGGCCGGTTTGGCTTGGTTCGGATCGGGTTGTTTATGAAGAATTCTAGGAAATCACTCAGCCCAGACCATTCATGGTAACAAGGAATGCTCTTGAGAATAATAAATATTCCCGAATAGCAACCACAACAACAATGAGGTGCAATGGATGATATTGATGAGGCGAATGATGATGATGCAAAATAAAATGTGAATCAGAATAAAAACGAAAAAATATTTATAATTTGTAAACAGTTCGGTATAAGGCAAATTAAGAATGGGAGACATATTTACATCTACATAAATGTATACATGTGTACTGGCATATTTGGGAACTTATTTTTGGCAAAGCAAAAATTATTTTTGTCACAAACTTTGGGTATGGATTTTTTTAAAAAGTATTGCGTAGATTTATTAAAGAATATTTTTTCAAGGGCCAATATAAGGCGTGGATTTTTTAAAGAATACTTTTTCATGGGCCAATATAAGGCGTGGATTTTTTAAAGAATATTTTTTCAAGGTCCAATAAAATGCGTGGAATTTTTAAAAAATATTTTCTCAAGGCCAATATAGGGCGTGGATTTTTTAAAGAATATTTTTTCAAGGCCTATATAAGGCGCGTGGATTTTTTAAAGAATATTTTTTCAAGGCCTATATAAGGCGCGTGGATTTTTTAAAGAATATTTTTTCAAGGCCTATATAAGGCGCGTGGATTTTTTAAAGAATGTTTTCTCAAGACCGATATACTGGCTTGTTACAGATCGGTTATTCCATAAACCGACCTGAAAAAAGATTTCCAAAGCGAACACTGCGCCTGTTCTGTACAACGTGCGCACATTCCAAGTGCAGATTCGCAGATCGTGGTCCTTTATACGTTTGCGAGGGTCGTCAATATTAAGGGGGTTTGGGTTTCTTTTTCTTTGCTTTTTCATAGTAGGTTGGGTTTTCCGAGAGTGGGCAACTAACCCGACGCCTCAACCCATTTGTTTATAGTTCTTATGGGTGAACTCGCGGCACATATTAGCTCACTATTTCATCGGGTGATGAAAATAGCTCCCCAGGGAAAGAGGGACCAAGATAAGCCTGGACTTCGCCATGTTAAAGCCAATCAGAGCCGTTGCTTGGTATCTATCATCCCTTACGCCACCCCAAGGCCAATATAATGCGTGGATTTTTCTAAGAATATGTTTTCAATGGCTTCTGAAGGCCTGCATTTTTTTAAAGAATAGTCAAGGCTTGAATTTTTTAAAACATAATTTTCAAAGGCCACTCAAGGCGTGGATTAAAAAAATATATATTTTTCAAGGGCAACTCAAGGACTAGGCATCACAAAACTTGGATTCTTTCGAATTACTATTTTTATTTTCAAATATTTTAAAACTGTTTATATATACATAATTTTAATTGAAAACTAATGTTGCTCTTCCTGTTCTTGTTTTCCTCCTTAGGTTTCCTGCTACAGCCATTCCGCAAGCCAAAACGTGTACGTACAGCATTTTCACCCACACAACTGCTTAAGCTGGAACATGCTTTCGAAGAGAATCACTATGTTGTGGGAGCCGAACGTAAACAATTGGCTCAGAATTTAAGTCTGACTGAAACTCAGGTAAGCAAAGAACTTGATAACAAAACACGGAAACTATTCAATTGAACGAAATTAATTTGATGAGGGAGGGCTATCATCGTTGGCTTAAATCTGACATAAACATGACAAGTATTGCGGATAAATTAAAAAGGAATTTTGTCTGAAATTAAAAAAAAAAAACAATTGTCTAAAATTTTATAATGGAAAAAATATTCTTTAAAAAAAATATTCGGCCCTTGAAAAAATATTCTTTAAAAAAAATAGTCGGCCCTTGAAAAAATATTCTTTAAAACATCTTCTTTAAAAAATCCACGCCTTTGGTAGGCCTTGAAAAAATCTTCTTTAAAAAATCCACGCCTTTGCCTTGAAAAAATCTTCTTTAAAAAATCCACGCCTTTGCCTTGAAAAAATCTTCTTTAAAAAATCCACGCCTTTGGTAGGCCTTGAAAAAATCTTCTTTAAAAAATCCACGCCTTTGGTAGGCCTTGAAAAAATCTTCTTTAAAAAATCCACGCCTTTGGTAGGCCTTGAAAAAATCTTCTTTAAAAAATCCACGCCTTTGGTAGGCCTTGAAAAAATCTTCTTTAAAAAATCCACGCCTTTGGTAGGCCTTGAAAAAATCTTCTTTAAAAAATCCACGCCTTTGGTAGGCCTTGAAAAAATCTTCTTTAAAAAATCCACGCCTTTGGTAGGCCTTGAAAAAATCTTCTTTAAAAAATCCACGCCTTTGGTAGGCCTTGAAAAAATCTTCTTTAAAAAATCCACGCCTTTGGTAGGCCTTGAAAAAATCTTCTTTAAAAAATCCACGCCTTTGGTAGGCCTTGAAAAAATCTTCTTTAAAAAATCCACGCCTTTGGTAGGCCTTGAAAAAATCTTCTTTAAAAAATCCACGCCTTTGGTAGGCCTTGAAAAAATCTTCTTTAAAAAATCCACGCCTTTGGTAGGCCTTGAAAAAATCTTCTTTTAAAAATCCACGCCTTTGGTAGGCCTTGAAAAAATCTTCTTTAAAAAATCCACGCCTTTGGTAGGCCTTGAAAAAATCTTCTTTAAAAAATCCACGCCTTTGGTAGGCCTTGAAAAAATCTTCTTTAAAAAATCCACGCCTTTGGTAGGCCTTGAAAAAATCTTCTTTAAAAAATCCACGCCTTTGGTAGGCCTTGAAAAAATCTTCTTTAAAAAATCCACGCCTTTGGTAGGCCTTGAAAAAATCTTCTTTAAAAAATCCACGCCTTTGGTAGGCCTTGAAAAAATCTTCTTTAAAAAATCCACGCCTTTGGTAGGCCTTGAAAAAATCTTCTTTAAAAAATCCACGCCTTTGGTAGGCCTTGAAAAAATCTTCTTTAAAAAATCCACGCCTTTGGTAGGCCTTGAAAAAATCTTCTTTAAAAAATCCACGCCTTTGGTAGGCCTTGAAAAAATCTTCTTTAAAAAATCCACGCCTTTGGTAGGCCTTGAAAAAATCTTCTTTAAAAAATCCACGCCTTTGGTAGGCCTTGAAAAAATCTTCTTTAAAAAATCCACGCCTTTGGTAGGCCTTGAAAAAATCTTCTTTAAAAAATCCACGCCTTTGGTAGGCCTTGAAAAAATCTTCTTTAAAAAATCCACGCCTTTGGTAGGCCTTGAAAAAATCTTCTTTAAAAAATCCACGCCTTTGGTAGGCCTTGAAAAAATCTTCTTTAAAAAATGTCCACGCCTTTGGTAGGCCTTGAAATAATAATCTTTAAAAAATCCACGCCTTTGGTAGGCCTTGAAAAAATCTTCTTTAAAAAATCCACGCCTTTGGTAGGCCTTGAAAAAATCTTCTTTAAAAAATCCACGCCTTTGGTAGGCCTTGAAAAAATCTTCTTTAAAAAATCCACGCCTTTGGTAGGCCTTGAAAAAATCTTCTTTAAAAAATCCACGCCTTTGGTAGGCCTTGAAAAAATCTTCTTTAAAAAATCCACGCCTTTGGTAGGCCTTGAAAAAATCTTCTTTAAAAAATCCACGCCTTTGGTAGGCCTTGAAAAAATCTTCTTTAAAAAATCCACGCCTTTGTTAGGCCTTGAAAAAATCTTCTTTAAAAAATCCACGCCTTTGGTAGGCCTTGAAAAAATCTTCTTTAAAAAATCCACGCCTTTGGTAGGCCTTGAAAAAATCTTCTTTAAAAAATCCACGCCTTTGGTAGGCCTTGAAAACATCTTCTTTAAAAAATCCACGCCTTTGGTAGGCCTTGAAAAAATCTTCTTTAAAAAATCCACGCCTTTGGTAGGCCTTGAAAAAACCTCTTTAAAAAATCCACGCCTTTGGTAGGCCTTGAAAAAATCTTCTTTAAAAAATCCACGCCTTTGGTAGGTCTTGAAAAAATCTTCTTTAAAAAAATCCACGCCTTTGGTAGGCCTTGAAAAACATTTCTTTAAAAAATTCACGCCTTTGGTAGGTCTTGAAAAAATCTTCTTTAAAAAATCCACGCCTTTGGTAGGCCTTGAAAAAATCTTCTTTAAAAAATCCACGCCTTTGGTAGGCCTTGAAAAAATCTTCTTTAAAAAATCCACGCCTTTGGTAGGCCTTGAAAAAATCTTCTTTAAAAAATCCACGCCTTTGGTAGGTCTTGAAAAACATTTCTTTAAAAAATTCACGCCTTTGGTAGGCCTTGAAAAACATTTCTTTAAAAAATTCACGCCTTTGGTAGGTCTTGAAAAAATCTTCTTTAAAAAATCCACGCCTTTGGTAGGCCTTGAAAAAATCTTCTTTAAAAAATCCACGCCTTTGGTAGGCCTTGAAAACATCTTCTTTAAAAAATCCACGCCTTTGGTAGGCCTTGAAAAAATCTTCTTTAAAAAATCCACGCCTTTGGTAGGCCTTGAAAAAACCTCTTTAAAAAATCCACGCCTTTGGTAGGCCTTGAAAAAATCTTCTTTAAAAAATCCACGCCTTTGGTAGGTCTTGAAAAAATCTTCTTTAAAAAAATCCACGCCTTTGGTAGGCCTTGAAAAACATTTCTTTAAAAAATTCACGCCTTTGGTAGGTCTTGAAAAAATCTTCTTTAAAAAATCCACGCCTTTGGTAGGCCTTGAAAAAATCTTCTTTAAAAAATCCACGCCTTTGGTAGGCCTTGAAAAAATCTTCTTTAAAAAATCCACGCCTTTGGTAGGCCTTGAAAAAATCTTCTTTAAAAAATCCACGCCTTTGGTAGGTCTTGAAAAACATTTCTTTAAAAAATTCACGCCTTTGGTAGGCCTTGAAAAACATTTCTTTAAAAAATTCACGCCTTTGGTAGGTCTTGAAAAAATCTTCTTTAAAAAATCCACGCCTTTGGTAGGCCTTGAAAAAATCTTCTTTAAAAAATCCACGCCTTTGGTAGGCCTTGAAAAAATCTTCTTTAAAAAATCCACGCCTTTGGTAGGCCTTGAAAAAATCTTCTTTAAAAAATCCACGCCTTTGGTAGGCCTTGAAAAAATCTTCTTTAAAAAATCCACGCCTTTGGTAGGCCTTGAAAAAATCTTCTTTAAAAAATCCACGCCTTTGGTAGGCCTTGAAAAAATCCAAGCCTTTGGTAACCTTGAACACATTTTCTTTAAAAAATCCAAGCCTTAATTCCGTCCTCTCCACCTAATTGGAATATTGAAGACTAAGAAAATAACTAGGTTCCGCCTGTTTGCCCCAAATACAATGCCTTATAATCACAAGTGCTGGTCATTATGAATCTATTTTCCGACAATTATGGATATACATTTTATACACTGCACCCCTCCGTTTTTGAAAATTTCCATGGGAAACCCTCATTTTTCAACCCTTTACCCAGATTTCTATTGAACAAAAATGACCAAAAATGAGGGTGGGAATGCCATTAGAGCCACTACTCCGTATGTTCCACCTAAAATTGCCTAAAAAAAGAATTCAATAATGCCAGAATGGAATAAAAATCATCCTTGTCGCAAACTTCTTTTCAAACCTTAAGTGATTGCATGTCAACTGGTCGTTAAGTGGGCTTAAGTGGCTTGAATTATTTACTCTATACGTGGGACAGACAGAAACGACCCTTTCACCGAATTCCATTCAAAATAGAAGTCGTCCGAACAACCCTTTCTTTATTCTACTTCAGGTTAAGGGTTGTTTTTAGTTGTTTGCGAAATTACCGTACGGGCATAAATGACTCCTGACACCCTTTAAGGATAATGCTTAGGTCTTGCTGCACTGAGCTATGCCTGACAGCTTGCCTTGCCATAAATGATGGCTAAAATAGCTTTAGGCCAAAAAATAGAGGGGTGTGTGTGGCAGATATTATAAATTGCAAGAAAATTACAGTTGGTAATAAAAGTAAACGCCCGCTAAATATTGTTACATTCATCGTCATTATTATTAAGTGAGAAGTTACATGGTAATATGCTTTGGGCCACTTGGGTGGGGGAAGAGGGAGGTAGTTAGTAAATTGGGGGGTTTTGCATTCTAATCTATCATGTGTATGTGTTCGTAAAAATTCTAATTGCTTTCATTTTTCTTCTTTGTTCGTCCTTGCCAGGTGAAAGTTTGGTTCCAAAATCGCCGCACCAAACACAAACGCATGCAACAGGAGGGCGACAGCGATACCAAAAGTCAAAAAGGCAGTCAATCGGGCGATAATGATGGCAGTAAAAATGACGGCTCCCAAACAAGCTTCGAAGATCAAGATGATCTTGATATGGCCGATGGTGATGACATTGACGAAGACGAGGATGAAGTTATCGACATGGATGATTATGATGATGCCGCCGCCGCAGCTGCCGAACATGAACTAATGGATGTCGAAGAAAGAAAGCGCATGATGAATGAACATTTTCAGGAAATGCAACAGCGCCACTTTGCCGCTGCTGCAGCGCAGCATCATGGTCAGATGTTTCAACAGCAGCAGCAGAGTCAACAGCATCAGCAATTTTTACATCAACATTTTTTGCAACAGCATCAACAACAACAACAGCAATTATATGCTCAAAGTGAGCACCAAAGACAACAGGCATTACAACAACAGCAGCAACAACAACATAATCCACAAGGTTCTGCTCCATCATCGCAATCCTCTCAACAGCAGCAGCAACAACAACATTCTCCTCATAAACATTAGCTGTGCGTTTTTGGTTTGAGAGTAGGAGAAAAGGCCAACAACAAGAACAAATTAGAATTATTTTAGCCAATCGTATATTTATTAAATTATTCAATAGTATTTTTTTATTTTCAAAACCAATTTTGAAAGCCTAAAACTATTTGTAAATACATTAATAGGCTAGCCTAATCGATAAAAATTAAGTTAAGCTCCTCATGAGAATAGGTTTTCAAAGGCTGCTACTATAACATGTACTAATCGGTATTGATATCTATGATATCTATTTATTCAGTCAGTCTAGACTCGTGTATGGGCATTTCGTCGGGAAGTAGCCTCAAAAGGCGTGGCAATGACCTGATATAATCCCGTTTTAAATGAGTTTTCAATTATTTCTGGATATTTAGCATTTCAGGCTCTCAATGGATAACCTCAAGTGGCACATATCAGAAACTTGAAGGTTTTAACCAAACTCTTGAACTGAATTTTTGCTAAGTTTGCTTTAAGAATTCCAGCTTTTTTCGAAAAAAAAATGTGTAATTGTTCCTGGCTGAAATTTCTATAGCTATGTAGAAGTTTTTCTTCACTGTTCGGAACCTCCACATTTTAGAAATCCATGGTCCAGAATTGTCTCTCGCATAATCGGAGAATTGGCAATGGAAGTGAAAAGGTTAGTCGGTAAGCACAGAAAGCGAAGAAAGTGGCTAGAACATCTAAAGTGTTGTAACATCAGTATCGCAGTGAGTAAATTGTGGGCAAGGAAGGACGATCGATTATCTGTCTCGGCTGTTTGTAGAACACTCCAAGAGTGACAAGGCGAAGAGAAGAGTATTGCGCCATATACGATCTCTTCAAGTGGAGACAGGAGGTCTAGAGGTACAAAAGGGGAGACTCATAGTTAACAGGCCTATCAATCAGAAATGCATTGTATTCACATTGAAGCAGTTGAGGAAGCAATTCAAGAATACAGAGTGAATAAAATTCTCGGAGAACACACGGCTACCACAGTGGTTTTGACACAACTAAGATTTGGATGATAAGCCGACTCAATTCATATTGTGCACGAATCGGACAATATCTATTGAATTCGGAGAAAGTCGGTTCAGATTTAGATATATCTCGCATATATAGTTTCGTCCGATTTTATGTATATGATGATCAACCTTCGCTTTACTGATTTAACGTAGACAAAATTTTGCACAGCTTTCTGAAATTAGCCCATATTAATGTATGCGAAGTTTTGAGGAAATCGGTTAAGAGTTTAGATATAGCTCCCATCAGCAACGTACACAGGATTTCATTTCGGGGGGGCCCGGCAGTACAAAATGAAAAAATTCGCTGTTTGCAAACATAAATTTACTGTGAAAAAAAATCATTTCCCTGCGTACGTCCCTGGCTCCCATATATAACCACGTCCGATTTTATGTAAATGGTGCACCAAACTCCCAATATTAAGACAAAATTTTGCACAAAGTACTGAATTAGGTCCAGTTTAATGTCTGTATAGTCCGATTGAGACAAAATTTTGCGCAGTGTACTGCATTAGGTTCATATAGACGTATGCAAAGTTTTGTTGAAATCGGTTCAGATTTAGATAAAGCTCCCAAATATATTAGGTTGGGGTAAAATAAATCTATTATTTTTATATGAATTATAGGACTTTATTTAACATGCTTCGGAATGTCCGATTTGGGCCAAATATTCACCATTTTGTTGTATGATTTGTTGCCATTTTAAAGATAACAAGATGAGAGAGGCATTACTCTCATAGAAGTTCTGCTCTCTATTTGCAAAAAAAAACTCTAGTAGTCGATTTTCAGAATTTTCCCCAGATAACAAATTTTTATCACTAAAGATATTTTGCAATACAAGAAAAATATGATAATCGCTTGGTGCCAAGTCCGGACTGAATGGCGGATGCATCAAAACTTCCCAACCAAGCTCCCGAAGATTCTGGCGAGTCACTATAAAAACAGTTTTATGATCGATTTTTAGATCCTGGGCGATGTTACGATTGCTAACATGCCGATCAACTTCGTTCATTTTTCCGATTTTATCGACATTTTCGAGGTGCATCTTTAACATCAAAAATTCCTGAACGGAATCTACGAAACCAAAATTGCACATAATTGTCTGTTACAGTATCGGAACCATAACCACCACTCAGCATTTTAGCCGCTTTGCTGGCATTTTCGTCTGTGTCAAAGAAAAACTGTAAAATGTACCGAATTTTCTATTTGTTCACTTCCATTTTTAACACCCTGTAACTCACAACTAAATGCACGAAACAAAAAAAGCAATATAATTTTTTTTACTGCGAAATGTCACGAGCATAAATCTGAAATTGTTTGATCGATACTTTGCGAGAAATCTATCAGTACAGCCATCAGCCGAAAAAAATAATGGATTTCTTTTTCCCCACCCTAATAATATTTTCGTCCGATTTTATGTACATAGTGCCTATAGTTGTTCGATTTACACGAAGTTTGGAAGAGGCGAGTTAAGAGTGATGTTTATTAAATTTGCAAAAATCGGTTTAGATTTATGTAAATGGTTTGCCGAGTAGCCTACGTCTGTTCCATATACACGAGATAAAATTGTGGGCAGCGCACTGTGCTGCAGCATACTAAATGGGCATGGTTTCTTAATTGGGACTATATGATTGACATGAAATTTTTCATAGATTTCAGAATGATATGTGTATGTGGTTTCTAATAGGTTCAAATATGTGGATTGCATTTCAAGGATCCTCTAAAGAAAATATGTCTGTTCTATCTACACGATATTGTATATATTAACATCTGGTTGTATGTACCCAAAGTGATGAAGGGTGTCATATAGACGGACTTTTTAACTTTCCTTACTGGAGTTAGAAGTAGAACCAGATTAAAGAGCTAATGCACAGTAGTGTAAGCGGCTACAACAACAAATAGACAGTTCATTTTTGATTATGAACACTCAATTATGGTCTCACGCAGTCTCTCTAGTTATGTTCAACACTGGTCCAGAAGAACATAGCACCATTTTTATTTGCGATTGGTTTTCATGGCAGTTATATGGTTATAACATACATACAATATGGAACATCCATAGATATCCAGTTCCCCATGGCTGGGACGTACGCAGCCCCCCAAAATTAATTTTTTCCCAAACAAAAGCTGTATTTTTGCAATACAAAATTTCATATTAAATGAAATTCTTTTATTAAGTAAAGGTAATGTTTTAGAAATGCCTTTATTAGAAGACCGACCTTTATAGAATACCGATTAACTGATTTCTGCTATTATTTTTTTGAATTTTTTATTTAAATTTTAATTTAAATAACTTCGAAAATTTCTTTTTGTTTTTTTTTATAATTGCCTACAAATTTGGTTTTGAAGGAAAAATCTATTTTTTTATGTAATTTTTTGTAAATATGTATTGTATGAAATGATGTATTTATGTATGTATTAATATCTCTATATGTTCCTTTTAGCTATCCAATACTATATGAATAGTGTAAGTTCAAATTTATAAGTTCAAAAAAGGAATTTAGTTCCGAATTTAGAATATATTACTCCAATATTATTGAATATATTCATAGATCGTTTATAAGTTCTAAGGCTTATTATATCATATAAATAATAAAGAATAATAAAAGAAAGAAAATTGATAACATAAGTAAATAAAATTTGTATTATAAAAAGTAAACACAAACAAATAAATTACAAGAAATATATATCAGATATGAGTGTTAAACAAATCAAAATAATAACCAAGTGGGTAGGTATACCTCGTTTAAGAAGAAGTGAAACGTAAATGTATAAAATCGATTTTGATAATTTTGAGACAATTAAAGCAAAACATGAAATTAAAAGTTCAGCGACCCTGGTCGTCTTTCATGGTGAATTTTCAGTTACTAGTTGAAAGCCTGTTGAAAGAAAACATTCATATTTTGAGGGTAAAATAGAATAGTTGAAGTAATACATAGGCTTAATGGCGAGTTTTCGGATACTACCTCTGGAAAATCAAACATCAAGGAATGGTATGTATAGATATTGTGAAAATATGCTTGATCACAACTTCCCATACTCTCACGGCTTTTATAACCATCTCAGAAATCAAAAACTGCAATCTGTAATCAGTTGGTGGGTCTTTCGGGGATTACGGCGGTCTTTAATCAAAACATTTTTGGTGTGGTTTGACAATTTGTTAATTATATGCAATACTAAACTATTAAAGAAAGTTCAAGAGTCTGACGGGGCCGACTATATGATACCCTTCACCACTTTGGGTACATAGAAGATGTGTTCATATGTACAATATCCTGTAGATAGAATAGACAAAGCTTATTTGAAATCGGACGAAACGCTATGCAATATTTCATGTAAATTGAACAGACATAGGCAAATTCATTTGCATCAATTGGCAGTATTGTGGTCCATTTACGTAAAATCGGACGGAACAATATATGGGCGCTATATCTAAATCTAAGCCGATTCCAACAAAACTCCGCATACATCAATCTAGGCAAAATTCAGATTTTGCCCAAATAGGCCATATACAATCTCAAAATTTTTTCTCGACAAAGTTCAGACATTTTTATCTGTTCTAGTAAGGAGTAGTCAGATATATGTAAAAATAATATATATTCTTGAAAATAGCTGTATATGGTGATAATATTGATATAAATGACGTTTACTACATTTATTACATTTTATACAGGTATATGACGTTTTCGACGTTTACACCTTTTTGACAGTCGAAAACTTAAAAATACGTCGCACGGACCATCCCTGACTATGACTATAAAATGCGATGGCAAAAAGAAATGAGGTGTGTAATTTTTATAAACACGTCGTCAGCGCCATCTATACGTGGGCATGATTCAAATCATGCACATAAGTTTTTTAACCCCGCTTTCAAAGCGTATAACATTTGAATGGTAAATCGCATCTCTACGAAACTGGTGTCATATGAAAGCGTAAATAGTTTACATTACAATGACTCTAAATTTTCCAGCACTACTAAACAATTGTCGTCAG